CCCCCCCCCCCCCCCCCCCAATAAACTGGTTGGCACAGATTTAATACACATTCCTGCACAATCCTTTTGTCTATCCCTGCCTCCATAAGGAACTGCTACATGATTAACCAGAGGTATCATAAGTAACTGTTGGAGAAGCCAGGGGTTGAATATGATGTGGCAGAGAGTTCAGGGCTGTGAAGAATAAGAGAGAGTGTGTTCATGCTAAAAAATCTGCAGTTGAAGGGATCTCCTGAAGCTGCTGCTCCTCCTCCCAGGCTAAGAGAGCAGCACTCTGGGAAGGAGAAGCCCTTGGTTCACAAGGCTTCAGTACATATAGACATCTGGTGTTCTGGAGCGCTGCAACAGCAGTGGCAATGCATGGATATAGGGACACCCAGTTAAAATATCAGTGTACATGGAGCACCAGCATACATATTCTGCAATGAAACAATCAATTACCAAATCACCTCTTGATTGAAGGTCTTAAGCATAAGTGTATTGGATACCCTTATTCAAATCCCCTATTTAGACATGTCGTCAAGCAATCCAGCATAATTAGTTATACTTTGGGGACCCTACCAAATTTCCACCAATATTAATAGAAAGACTACAGAGATGCACTACAAGTTCTACGTGGCAAGATTCACCAATATGGTGATGATGTCTCAGTCAGAAAAAATGCCTGCATAAGACAAAAGCTGTACACTTCACAGGTGAAAGTCAAACTAGATCCCTGTCCCATGGAGCTTAGAAATAAAATATACAGCAAGACAGCCACTGGTGAGAAAAGGATGAGCTGGAGTATAACACACACATTTAAGCTTCTATTGTTGCAGCCAAAGGGTTTGGAATCCAAATCCTGAGGCCAAGTACCTTGAAAGCACAATAAAACAGTTGAAAAGTGCACTTAAGGCTCTGTTATGTGACTGAGAACTGAAATAACTAAAGACTGCACTTCTGAAATTCAAAACAGCAAATTAATTCATTGCCACGCTGAATAGAAGTTAGACATCAGAAATTAAGTATACAGCAGGAAATAACCATTCCAGTAAAAAAAATCTGAATTATGCAAGCCTTGATTGAGCTTTCCTACTTCAGCAACTGCCTATCAAAGTAACTAACATAATACAATGCTGGCTACCATCAACATAAAAAACTCCACAGCCAAAAGCAATTTCTACTGGCTCACTTTGTACCTCAAACTCCCAAGTCCAGCAAAATGAGATATACATCTGTCACTTTATGCAATACTTGTGGAATTCAGCAAAAGCCAGTTGTAATTAGAAAGATAAAGTCAACTGAATGTGGAAATTCAGATTTCATAAAGTGCAGGTGACCTGATTTTTAACTTCTTTTATCTCATTTACTGCAAAGGAACACAAAAATAGCACGGACCATACTACCTTTCCTCTGCAGGACTAAGGGATCTGTGATGCAAAATATAATGATAGAATGCAAGTATAAAGGTGCACTATGCTCATCTTTACGGTCAAGAGTAACCTTACATTTACAGTAAAGACCAGTATCCAAGCAGTGTCTTAAACTGTATCATGAGAAGACAAAGATCTTAAACACACACACATACTACAGTCTAGACAAGTATTTAAAACATGGTGGCTAGTTGAGGCAAGCACTAGGCTTCCCCTACTGAGCATATTCTGACCACCTAAAGTTTTGTTAATATGGTTCTTTAACATGACAGACACTTTCAGATTTAATTGTCCATTTATATGACAGTACACCACTGAAGAAGCATGGTAGATCGTAATTTAGAAGTCCCTCTTCTCTGGACGTGCTCCTTGGCTAATTCCCTTAATGTCTATGTCTCAAGTGCATCATCTACAAAAATGATGAGAAGTAAGAATACCCTTATTTGTAAAGGTCTTTGAGAAATAAGAATGTAAAGTGTTATTATACAAGTACTGCAAATTGTCATTCATGCCCTTGTTTTACTGTGTTGCGAGTCAGTTCTTTTCTCCATTAGTAGCAAATCATCTGACACAGAGCCAAAGGATCAAAGCAAACTGAAGGGACCATATTACTTAAATCCAGAGGCAAATTAGAAAGCCAGTTTTATTGCATGAGATTCATTTAAACACAGTACAATTAAAAGGTAGGGACACACCAGAAGAAGACAGTGGTTATGACTAGCTTTTCAGGAGTCTACTCACCTATGTAGCACAGCAGTAGGACAGTTATAAGCACTGCATGATACCATCAAACCTCCCACTCATGACCATTAATTGAAAGCATGTTACCATTTCTAGCCCATAGGGTCAGAATTTTAAAAGCATTTATGAATCTAAGTTAGCAGACAGGCACCTTTAATAACTCCTCTGGGCACGTAAATACCATATTTTCTCTCATATAACAAGCCCTCAAATAAAATAGTCATCTTGTTTTTGAAAGGCAGCATGAAAAAAAATCTTTCCCTGAGAGCCTTTGGTTGAAAAGGGAAGTGGGCGAACTGTCCACAGTCAGCAGCTTGGAAGCCCTGAGTGCAGCACATGCAGCTTTACTTATGCTCTCCTCTGGCAGATGCTTAAGCAGCAGAAACTGTTGTTACTCCACTTTTTCAATTATAATGTGCACCCCAGTTTCCAGCAGCTGAATTCTTGGTGGAAAAGTACATGAAGTATGTGAGAAAATACATTGCTTTAAAAATATCTGGCCCTAAGTTATAAGGGCATGAGAATAGAAGAACTGCCATTTACTGTATCAGACCATAAGTTGATCTTACACAGTATCTGGTGTCACAGTAGCAAAGAGTGGATACTGAGAGAGTGAACTGGGTATGACCAGGAGGTTCCGCCCCCATATTTCCTCTCTCACTTGCAGCCTCCAGCGTTTAAAGTCTAGGAAGTTCTAACTGAAAGGCTGTATCCCTAACTCCCTTGCTCAATAGCTACTGATACCCCTTTTGTCCAAGAATTTGTCCAATCCCTATTTGAATCTGGCTAAACAATGAGTTTCCATCTAGTGGCAATGAGTTTTGCACTTTAATTACAGGCTGTGTAAAAAATAACTTCTTTCTGTTACTTTTAAAATTATTACCTACTCATTTCATTTTGTGATCCCTAGTTCTTGTATTGTGAGAGTAAGTAATAAATCCCTATTTACTTTCTCATTGCAATCTTCTAGTATTTTTTAAACTCTTATCCTGTCCCTGTTCAAACATCTCTTTTCTAAACTGAATAGGCCTAGCCTCTTTAGACTCTTCGTATGGATCCCCACCATACCATTAATCATCCTTGTTGCCCTTTTTTGTACCTTCTCTAGTTCTCTACAGGAGACCCTCGCCATTCGTGGGGGATATGCTTCAGAGATCCCTGCAAATGGCAAAATCTGCGAATGTTGATGGGCCTCTCCATCAGGCCCCACAGCTGCCCCCTGCTCCCCTGCAGCGCCTGGGGACCAACCCCGCCCTCCCGCCCCACCCCCCAAG